TGATCAATTCTACGTTCAATCATTTGGCCCAGCAGGCTAAAACCTACCCTCGCCCTCTGCCGGGCTTTTGTGTAAGTGCCTCCCTTTTTCATTGGCTCGCTCGATTTGTCTTCGAGCGGAGCTACAAATCTCCAAAGATAGGGATGGACTTGCCGAGCGAGCAAGCAAACACGGCTCTCCCGAAAACAAGCGCAGGTGGCCAACTTCCACCTCAAAAGAGACATCCGGTTCTTGCCGCAGAGCCGCATCGGATCCAACCTTCTCCGACCACTGTGGGTGGGACCTCTGTGCCTCTCTTTTCCACGATGGCCGGTGTCGGGTGATGGGTTGGTGACCCCAACCCACTACGCTTGCCGCTCTTTCAGGGCTAGACAAGCAGAGCGCTCGCTCTCCATACGCCACACGAACTTGTTACCAAACAACCGAGTCAGCTAGCTCCCTGATCGACTATGTACACCTCTTGTCTCACGGTGAAAATGAAGTCGCCGCTGTCCTTGTCGGGCCGGGGAGTCAGCGGCCCCGTTGGAAGACTCGACCACTGGTCTGGTTCTTCTTGAACCCAATTTCAATGGATACTGGGGAATCCTAATTCCTGCCACGGAGCGTGCCATTGGCCGACAGCGCCATTCCTGTCGCCCAAGCGTTGCACCGCCTAAGGATGGGCCGCCAGCATCCTCTCGTTTTGACGCCATTGTCAACGCTAGGGGTGCCATTGCGGCTGGTGATGGGCTCCTGATTCGGCGACAGCTATCTGCCCAAGTGGTAAGTTCACACTTTTGCATGTACTAGATGCCCGTCCTCTCGGCAATGCTGGCAAATGTATCTGGTTTTCCAGGACCAGGAGTTATGGTTTCTCTGTGATCGCTCTTCGCATTTTCTAGCTGACAATTTACAAGAACATCTGTCTCGCCGCGCTCCCGTTTCTTGTTTCTTTCTCTAATATACTCCTTGTTTTGTAATCCTCGCGCAGTTTAATGCTCTCATGGACAGTATGGACCTCGCTACAATCCCTGAGGTACCTCAGGGTGGAAATCCGTTCGCCATACCTTTCTTCCTCCACATCCAGCACGTTCAGTATCAAGAAGCTATCCATCAAGCGCCCCATATCTCAGCTCCAGACTTCTACTGGCGGCCATCCTTGGGAGGTCGCTTTGTGCATGAAGGTACATCAGGATGGTGGATCTGGGATCCAGCACCGCTCCCAGGAGCAGAGGTCAACCAAGCGTGCCTGCGTCGCCCGACGGCCGAAGAAACTGCACGACGCAGATGGCACAGGACGAGTACTCTGGTCTGGGACCCCGAGCGTCACGGGTACATCCATGCTCCTATTGATTGTACTACTACCCACTTTGACGCTGAAACATGGCGGCGACTCGGGTTTTCCCGACGTCTGGACTCTCAGCAGAATGATCTGGCGATCATTGGCCATGACGGAGAAGGCTATCGACTGCATCTCCCAGGACCACATGATTGGTTTGAGCAGCTGCTACCAGACGTCTGCGAGGCACAGATGGACGGTCAACCAACCTGTAAGTTGGCCGGGTATCTTAGTATCCTCATAGGCCTCCTCGCCTTTGGGGTTGAGCCACGAATGGACTGGCGTGTGATCGACGCGTCTTTCAGACGGGACATCTCTTCGACGCAGTTTCAGCTCCATGGTCTGAGACCAGGTTTAAGTAAGTCCATCCATACTCGCAGCCTCACTTCCCTTTCACTTCCCTGATCAGTGCATAATCTCACCTGTTGGCATTGAAAACAAATTGCAGGACACAAGAAACGCTCAATGGTCATCGAGATCGGATATGATCCTGCCCTAGTATCAACCGACATGCTGAAGAGATGGGAAGCGGGCGACTTTGGCGAGATCTTTAGCTAAAGATCAATCTTCGCACACGGCCAGTGCCGTCCTCCTGACCACAAAAGATGGCACCTTTGCACATGGGGATATGAAAACAAAGTTAGGAAGTGGACATGACCCAAATTCTGAAGGACACCAGGGACACTGTGGTCACTGCAGAGAGGCTTACCGTTGGTGTCTTTTTGCCCTGCTGCATGTTGTTCTTTTCCAGGAGAAGAGGAGGAATAAAAATTCAGTGGAATCTCTGGGATTTCATGCACCTCGCATGCAGCTCCCATCATCATATGTGACCTTATCTCATGATGGGTCGCACGAAATCAAGCCTCGAGCCGGTTGGAGAAGTCTATCTAGCCTCCCAACCTTACGACGTTACGACTTTTTATCACCTGCGACAGGGAATGTTGACGCCCGCTAATGTTTTGACAGTTTTATTGCTACAAGCCACCAAGCAGGTGGAACTGGGATGGAGTGTCTTGATGCTCAGTATGCAGTGACTGGGCTTAGGCCCAGGCTTGTGTTCCTGCAGCGCTCTCGGTCTTTTGCTCTGTTCCCTTTTGGTTGATGCTTGCCCCCTGACTGCTTCATTTGACTGCCTCTTTGTTGTCTTCAAGTCTTGTCATATCATGTCATGTCTTATCATTGATTCATCATCAATCATCATGGTCTTATGTTTCACAAGTGCGATTGCTCGGGTACATGAAAGGAAGGTTTGTTGGGGCTATGGATAGATGGCCCGACCTGTCCCTATCGAGATAGCTGTTTAAATCTGATATGTTAGCTTTGTCGACATCTCCTCGATGGTTTTCCGATGTGACGCTCACGATAGGCTGCCTGAAATGCATGCCAGTGCTCAAACCCTTGAGATGCTCCCTGTTCCTCGACATGCTGGTCAATTGGATTTTGCAAACCAATAAAGTACGTCGTGACGCGCAAAGTATCTCCTCAGCTGGTCTCAATTGTCTTTTACACGTGTTTTTTGGGTCAATGGTCGATGTCTGTGTCAAGATCGTGGAGAAAATGATGGTCATCGGACTCGTTTGCAACTGTTTCACCGAGAGAGAATCGATTTGAGTGAGATAGCTGGGAGGGGGCGTTGGATGGAGCTGGTTATATATGCGTAGGAAGAGGAAGAGGAAGAGGAAGAGGAGGAGGAGGATATGGTCTCGCAGCACCGACCGGTGTGAATAGTCAGGCACTCGTAGCAAGACGCGTCGGCGTCATATGAGCGACGATCAGTGATTGTCACGTTGTGACTCGTGTGCAAGTATCTGAAGCGTGGAAAAGGATGAACCGGCGAACTTGTGATGTAGGATGTAGGACGTGGGAAAGGAACGAGGATTGCGATGAAGATGAAGATGAGAATGACTCTGCGAAAACGATACCTTGAGTCAAGTATCTCCTCGTTGTTGGGTGATATACAAAAGTCACAACTCACGAGTCGGCGGGCATCAAGGACTTTCTCGGGAGAGCGCAGTTTTGAGCAGAATCGGGCTGAGCAATGGAGATGGGTGATAGACAACGACATTGCCCTAGCAAAAAAAAAGGGGATTCTCTGGTCATGTCATAGAAGGATGGAACTGTTGTGCATTGCTCCACATTTCATAGGATGAGATGGTGGCTGCTTCGAGGGCAGAGCTTTGGTACAGATTATCATATTGCTATGTGGAAGAAAAGGGAAAGCATTGGGGGAGGGCTAGGAGAGAGATTTAGTTGACGAGGACTTGCCCAAGGTGCCCTGGTCAATAACATGGTACCAAATTATCCAATCACTCTCGCCTGTGATTTGGGTGGGTGGGTTGGGTGAGTGAGTGTGTGTATGTGTGTGTGTCCCCATGTAAGTTGCAGTCCCGGGCGCAGTTACTAAGTATTCCGAGCCAGCCTTTGTAACTGTATCCAGCTGACTTCGGCAGCAGACGTGAGTGGAGTACGTGAAGGGGCGTCACTGACATGCATGGATCAGGGTCGCACTGACATAATGAACATGCTGCTGAGAGCCTGGCTCACTTCGGCAGTCGAAAAGGGTGGGAGACATCAAAATGTATCCTCCAGTTCAGCCGTGATAGAGACATCGAGCCCAGGGCTGTATAGCATACTTGTACATGGGATGGTATGCCGATGAAGAAACCTCGCCTTGATCGATGGCTTTTCAGGCACTTTACCATGGCCTCAACATCTCCCATGCTTGAGACTAATTGGTGACAGAATCTCTCGTAGCATTCTAAAAGAAAACAATCATAGAAAATCCCCTACCAAAACCTCCCAAGAAGCGGTCCATCCAAGTCATTCGGGTGTCCGGAAAGGGGGGACTGCGAAGACCCGGACAGGCGTGGTGTGGCGGGCTCATTTCAGTGCTCGATCAGGCACGATGCATTGTGTCTTCTTGGGCAGGGCGCAGAATGCCACCTACTCAGTAGAGCGTCCACCGAAATCCAGCGTGAGGCTGTTTCTGTGGCGTTTGGTGGCGTCGAAGTGACTGGTGGTTACATGAACTGGCGCAATCAGGGTTCAAGGGTGGGTGGTTGTTGGTGGTTGGTTTTGGAGAGGATTACGCCAAGACGTGTCTAATTTTGCATCTAACTTCATGTGTCTTGGTTGCTTGTGAACGTCACGTGACACAATCAATGCGCCTGTGCTGTCACGTGACCTCTGTTTTTGTACTTGCTCTTGTACATGTTCTACCACTCACTGCCACTACCACTGCTACCCTCATCTTTCAGCTGTTCATTCGTCAACACTTCGCTTCCCTGTGCCCGCCCCCATGTCTTGCATCTTACCTTCTTGATACTAGCCCAAATCTTCTCTCCCAAAACACCTCTGGCGCCAATGATACCGCCTCACGATGCGTTCCCTCGCCAGGTGCAGCGCCTGCAATTGGCCTCAAACCGGCCGCCTCTCTACCAGGACTCGGACGGCTAATCTCTCGCTTCAAGACCAGATATCCCCACGTGACTTGCTAGGACGACCTAAACATGTGGCCCGGGGCCGACTGGCAAAAGAATGAATTCGGCATACTAACTTCTCAGCCTCACCACTCAACACATCTCTCACAGATCTGACCTAGATCTTCCCTGATGAGCTCTTGTTGCTTGGGCCGTCTTCAAGCACGACATTCAATCTTCCAGAAGCGGCTGATGATAGAATCATGGCCCTTGCTCTCAGAACCGCAGCTCCATTGAAGCCCGAAATCAGGCTAGCCCAAGCGCTTTCGGAATTCTCAGCCGTCCTCCACGATGACGAAAAGAAATTGTTTCGAACTTGGCGCGCCGGGAGGCCTCCTAGTGTGTCGGATGTTATGAAGCTCACGGCGGAGATCGACAAGGACAACAGGCTTTGCTTTGGTCGCTGCTTTGGTCCCCGTCTGACTTCCATTCTGGAAACCGTACAGCAATTCTCAAGTGTTGTCGATGTCATTGTAGGCGGCAGCCAGTCTCCAATAGCGACTTCCATCTGGGGGGTACTGCGCATGACCCTTCAGATAACCGTCAAGTTTGCGTCCTATTTCGATAACCTGTCAGCCTTGTTTATGCGCATTGGACGCTCATGTCCCCGCTATGGGCAATATGGTGTCATGTATACCAAGTCTCAGAGGCTACAGGAGGCACTCTGTGATTACTTCTGCATCGTTGTCACTGTCTGCAAGAAAGCGGTTCTGTTTATTCGGAAAAGCCCTATTGCTCAACTGTCAGCTGCTATCCTCAAGCCATTTCAATCAGAGTTTGGCCCTCTCGAGTCCAATCTCGAGACAATAGCAGATGCTATCCGCGAAGAGGCCTCCTTGGCATTCAAACAGGAAGTGGCTCTCGAGAAAAAGGAGGCCTCCCGTTTTCGAGCATGGTCGTCGTTGAAAACGGCAACGGAGATTCAGGAAGCAAAGAAGTTTAAAGCCCAAAAGGAGAAATATCGATTTCTCAATGCGTGCTCCACATACAATCACCAGGCAGCGTGGAAAAGAGCTCGCAAAGTGGGCGAGAGCACCCGGGTCTTTGACCACACGGATTACAAGCACTGGATTCAAGCCTCGACATCGAGTGTGTTGTGGATTACTGGAATACTTGGGTCAGGCAAAACGGTAATCACGGCCAGCCTGGTGCAGGAAGTTAGAATCCAATTCCCGAATGCTCTCTTGGGCTACTTCTTTTGTAGCCACGACGACGCAGAATCACTTCAGGCCAAGACCATTTTAGGTAGCCTCGCAAGGCAGCTTTTGAGCTTGCTCAGCCCAGACACATTCGCCAGCATTGACACAGTCGAATCAGATCCACTCGACAACGACGAGATTGTGTCTTATCTGCACAAACTAGCCCCTCAAAACGAACAGGCTTTCGTTATTATCGACGGGCTCGACGAATGTCCTGAGATTGAACTGGACAAAATTTTCAGCTACCTCCCCAAGTTTCTGCAAACATCTCAGCTTTTCCACATCTTCTGCTCGAGCCGACCCGACCTACATACAAGATATCGAGCTAGTCTACCATCTCAACACCATCTGCCGTTACCGGTGGAGAACCACGAAATCGCACAATATATCGATAGTGCTTTGGAAGACCGTCTTACAACTGGCAGCTTGTGCTTAGGGGATCCGACCATAATCTTGGCTATCAGGCAGGCCCTCGTGGAAGGGAGCCGTGGAATGTTGGTGTTGCCTTCTAAAGTCCAGAAACGTGCTAACGGGCATTAGGTTTCTCTGGGTTGTGTTTCAGCTTGAATCGATATGCGCCGAGCTCACGGATGAAGCAATCCTCACAGCGCTCCAATCTTTGCCCAAGGACCTTCCAGAGACTTTCGATCGTGTCCTTCGGAAACTAGCAGAGAAACGAACGACAAATCCAGCCACTTGCAGAAAGATCTTTGCGATTGTCGCTGCGGCTCAGCGGCCACTGACCTTGGATGAACTTCGTGAGGCGACGGGTGTCGTGCCAGGAGATACTGAATGGGATCCACGAAAGCTCATCAACGACATACAAATGGCCGTCAGCCAGTGCAGAAGTCTATTGCTCATCGACGAGGAAGACTCCACAGTACATTTCAGCCATCACAGCGTCAAACAATACATCGTGTCCAGTCCCCAGGACCCCTCCACTCGTCAGTTCCATGTAGAATTACCAGAGGCGAATCTGACTTTAGGTGAAGTTTGCGTCACCTACCTGAACTACAATGTCTTCAACACCACGCTCACCAGGATGGGCAATCACGCAGCAGTGCAGCCGCAAGCGATAACCACCGCCATTGTGGAGAGGGCATTTCCGCGAGCCGCAGTCAGCAAAGTTGCACTGAAACTCTTGAAAAGAGAGGGGGCCAAAGACTTTGATCTGAGCGCTCGTCTTCAAGAGGTGGGATTCAAGGAACGAAAGCGAGAAAATTATTCTTTTTTGGCATACGCAAAGTCATTTTGGTTGTTCCACACTCGGCAATTTCACACAAGAAGACCAGCCACTTATCAGTTATGGCTTGGTCTTTTATCGAAAAATGACATGATCGGACTGCTTCCTTGGGATCCCGAAGCATGGGATGGACAAAGCGAAAGAGTCTTGCAGTGGGCGGTGGAAAATGGACATGGTGCTCTCATCTGCGAGATAACTTCAAACTTGATCAAGTCAAATGCAGGCCTACCACTCAGGACATTGCAACTGCTCATCGGAGTAGAAACGAAACATCTGCAATTGTACCCTGATATTCACAGATGCACCGCCCAGGTATTGGCCAAATATTGTGAAGATTATACCATACTCTCAATTCTGGTTGATAGTGGGCTGAATCTTTATCAGCGAGACAAAAAGGGACTCCTCATTTCAGCTGTGCTCGAAGGGCGAACACAAGTCGTTAAAGCATTGTTGAGACGAAAAGACTTTCCGATCAACGACCGAGACGGGGATGGAATGACGGCATTGAACCACGCTGCGGTGCGTGGCGATGAGGAAATGGTGAGATTACTTCTCTGTCGCAAAGACATCGACGTCAATTCGTCCAACAATGCACGCTGGACACCTTTCAAGCATGCAGTGCTCGCTGGACATGATAGGATAGCAAAGATCTTGGTGGACCGTGGCGCAATTATAGCTCGTCTGAAAATATACCACGAAGGAGCACTCAAAATGGTCTGATGACTCCAAACAGCTTTGGGAGGAAAGAGATGGTGAAGCTCCTCTCCAGGCGACACGATCTCGACAAGAACTTCAGAGGCCAGTTGGAGCAGACTACGGTGCACACTGCTGCAAATGTTCCGGATAAGAAATGTATGAGATCTTGCCGGAACGGGAGATGCCAATGGCGCTACGCTGTTGCAGCCTGCCCTCATGTACAGCAACGACAAGGTTCATCAGATGTGGAAGTGTTACAACAGGAGGCTGGGCGTCGGACTGGAGATTCGATCAGAGACGATCGAAAGAGTCACAGTGATTTACGACACTTTGAGTCCGTTACTTTACGATTTGCGGATACTTCTCTAGGGGGAATGGATGGGAGCCCAAGGTTGATGGTGAATGAGTCATGCATTATTAGTTCTGGGAGAAACAGCAGACGCCAATCGCCTGAAGCAGCAAATGTTTGCTACATAACTGAGGTTTTAAGAAGTGCGTGGAGGTCTCTTGCGCTCTCAGCCGTGCGAATGCCATGCCTCCATCGAACTGTATGGTACTTTTCAAGATGTCACCGACGCCGGGTGGGCGCCTTGTGAAGGGTCTTTTCCAGTGACGGCGCCTCCGTGTCGTCAAGCTCAAGAATCGGAAGGGGTTTTGATAGGTCTGGTGTGTATGAAGTCGGTCGGAAATGCTTGATTGGCTTGACCAGCTGGCCGTCTTCTGGGGGGGCGGGGGACTTTGTGACGGTTCTTCTTGCCCTCACTATATCTTCCCACATCTCCTTGACGAATTTGAAGTTGACCGACAAGGGGTCGAAGAACTCGGCCAATAGCTGCCAGACAGTGTCGAGATGCTGGATGTCCGGGTAGAACCAGACAATCTGCTGCACGAACCACCATCTTTCGGGTTGGTTTCGAGATGCAAGGGAACCCGCCAACAGAACATTGAAGAGTGTGGTGTGACAGATGGAGCACATGGTCGGGAGATCCATGTTTGAGAGGCGGTACTGCAGTTCGAGCAGGTTGGAGCGAACGATGAGCGCCGAGGTGTTGAAGCTGATTGCATTCAGATACATCCAGAAGAACAGGGCAATCTGATAACACCGCTGCATCTCGAGATGCTCTGGCTCGCCCAGTAACCGGCTGCTATCGGGGTCCATGCGCGAAATCGCCGTCGCACTATCCGGCAGGAGGCTGGAGCTGGGACTTTCGGGGCGCCAGGCCAACATGCGGCCCGCCAGATGCGCTCGGTGGGAATACCACTCTCGGTCGGATTTCCAGAATTGCCTGTCAATCTCGATGATTTCTGTTCGGCAGCCTTGGGTTTTGTTGGGCTGCGCCTTGCGAACGACAACGACTGAGCGGCTATGGAGGAATGCGCCGATGATGTTGATTTTGGATCTGGCGTGCACAATCAGCGAACCTGCGTTACAGGGATAAAGATGCATTACTCACACAGCCAATTCGGTTTCCAAAGAAGCCCCATCGGTAGCGAGGAGCAAGGACATGCGTTTAAGCGCCTGGAGATGCATTCTGCCGCTTTCACCATCGGCCAGTAACACCTAGACCTGTCAGGTCATGTCGACACTACAAAACGCCAGGCTTGCTTCATCTTGCCCACTCACCGACAGCCGATACAGGAAAAGGATAGCCTGATAGCATGAATCATCGACGACCTGCTTCGGGTCACGCAGGACGGCATTTAGCTCGGCGAGACACCTCGTATGCAGACGCAGCCATGGCGGTATCTGCCACTGCGAGTTCTGACCGTTGTCGGTAGGTGGAGGAAGCACCACACCAGGGCCCCTGAGAATAGAATCATGGATGTTAGTCTTGGTGAATGGATGGGTAACGGGGAAGCTTACCCTCTGAGCATTCCGGAGAGAAATACAGAAGCATATGTGGCCACGGCATAGGTTAGACAGGGCGAAGCCTGGATCTGGGACAAGTTGTCGAGCCACTTCCACGACTGCAGCAGATGAGTCGCGAACGGCCTGATGATCCAAAAATAAAAATAGAGGTTGGCTTTGATTTCAGCATCGTAGCTCAAGGCAGTCGAAGGGGTGAAGACATCGAAGAATTGCGACCCCAGCAAGGTCAAGGGCGAGGCGGACCACTGTTCGTATTCTCTGAGCGCGCGCTCCCAGGGTTTGATGGCCAAGTAGGGCTTCTGCGAGGTGGCTGCATAGCCTGCTGCCGTGGACACAAGAGCATTATTTTCGTCAGCGGTAGTTCCCTCTTTGTAGTCCTGCACCGTCTCGTCGTCGTTGGTTGGGAGTGCCAGAGGTGTCTTGGTATAGTTGGCCGTGGACAGTCTCTGCAGGTAGGACGATGTGCCGGTCAAGATGGCCTTGGTGGTCGAGTCGAGCGCGAGGTCCTGGTGGTTTGCCTTGTTCCAGTATCGGTAGCGCGACGAGATGTGCGACGTCTTTGCCGACTTGACCGCTTTGGTGGTCCGCGAGGGGTTCTTCGCGTCGCCCACGATGAACATCAGCGGAGGAGGTTTTCGAGGTTGGCTCATGGTGCAGCGCGAGGCTTTATTGAACGGGGAGGAACCAACGGATGCATTGACGGGTGTTTGAAAGGTCTCTCGTGAGTGGTGGTGGTCGAGAAGGAAGTTCTGAGAGCCATGAATCAATCACCCCGCCATGTTGACTCGCTCATGGCTTTTAACTGCGGTTGATGTTGTTGTATCTGCACTCAACAGGCTGCTTTCTTTCTTTTCTTCCCATCCCTACTGAATTTTCTCCTGGAACTCGATTTCTCACGAACAAAATCTCATTCTTTGCCAAGTCTCCAGCTCTGATATTCCATCGGCCTTGACGAAAGCCGTGCCGAAAACCCTCTTTAGCGAGGTCGCCGTCATCGAGCACGAAGAGAAGACGGCCCCCACGGGCTGGCGCCAAACCCCTCCAGGGACCAGCCGCTCATGCGATTACTCAGACTCGCACTCGCTAAAGAGATGGGCTGGCTGCTGGGCTGATTATAATTGGGTCCGGTGAGCCTCGGGATGGAACAAAAGAGCGGGATGGAGTTCTAGGCCGTGGCATTAACGCTTTTGTCGTCTTTCTATTCGTACCGTCGAAGCCGCGTCGCACAATCGGGATGTGGCTGCGTCTGCTGGTTGTCGCGACCTTCACACATGGCTTGACAGCCAGAAATCCCCTTGAGGCGCGTCGAAATGCCCTCCTCTTCAGCTGTATATAGAATGGCCACATCCGGCTTTCCATGAGCTTAATCTGCTGGACAGGGTGACGGGTCATGGCGGCTGGCGGCTCTTCAAAGCCTGCCCCTGACAGCAATGTCTGCACGGTCGAAGAACCCTCGCTCAAAGTGCCGTCCACCACCAAGAAGGCCGGCTCGTCGATCTGCGGATCTATGCGCAAGTATCTCTGGGCGGTGATCTGGTGCGTCTACATGCTATGGTGCGTTCTAGCCAACAACTACGCAAAGACGGCAGGGCAGTCAGTCCTTGGGATCCCTCAATTTCGAAAAGACTTTGGCGGTGCTTATCATGGTAACTATGTCTTGTCGGCCAAGTGGCAGTCGGCCTACTACGGCGCTCCTCAGGCAGCGTAAGACATGGCCCCCCTAGACTTGCTTGCATATTCCCCATCGGTGAACGGGGAACTCGGGCTGATTTTTCTATGGCAGCTCTGTGATGGGCGCATTGAGTGCTGCGTGGCTCGCCGACAAGGCTGGTCGGAGGTTTGCACTTGGCTGCATCTTTGCCGTCAGACTGACATCGGTCACGTTGGAGTTCATCGCTACCACCAACAATATCTTCTTTGCAGGACGTTTCCTAGGGGGCTTCTCCACGGGCGGGACCAACTCTCTGTGCATGGCCTATGTCGGAGAGATCACGCCACTGGCACTCCGCGGTGTGCTCACGGCTGCAGTCCCCATCTCTCTCATCCTCGGGTCGTTACTGTCCGCTCTTGTGGTCAATTTCACCGGCAACCAGTCCACTCGTTGGGCTTATCGGATTGCTTTCGTGGCTGGCTATGGCTTTATGGCCATTGCAGTGGCTGTGCTTCCATTCATGCCAGAGTCGCCATGGTGGCTCGTCAGCCATGGCAGGGACTCAAGGGCTCTCAAAGCTCTCCAAAAAACTGGTTATTCTACCGATGGTGAAGCCGAGCTCAAACTGACCGAGATCAAGAGAGTGCTGGCCAAGACCAAGGAGGAAACGTCCGGGGCGACGTACACGGAATGCTTTCGACGGTCCAACTTGCGTCGAACCATCATCGCTGCCATGCCGCTGACCATCCAGACTTTCTCTGGGGTTGCCTTTGTCGGGTCCTACGCTACATACTACCAACAGCTTGCAGGATACAGCACTGCGGCAAGTTTTCGTCTGTTTATTGTCCAACAGGTTTTGTCGGGTGCCGGAAATATTTGCTCATGGTTCCTGGTGGATAGAGTGGGACGGCGGCCTCTGACACTCTGGGGTATGGTCATGTTGACGCTGATTCTTTTGATTACTGGAGGTATGTATACCGCCTTCGTCGCCGCATCTTGTTTGTCTGGATGCCGTCTTTGATGGTTCGTGCCGCGCGAGTTGGAGATTTAAGAAGACCCTTGGCTAACAGGGTTGGCGGTGATATCAGGCCTTGCTGTCTCGGGTACGCCGCCCGCCATCAAAGGGACGATCGCACTTATCCAACTCTTCGCCTTTGTCTACAATGCCACCATTGGCGCCACCGCCTTTACCATCCTCACCGAGATCCCCACCGCTCGCCTCCGGGCCAAGACGGCGTCTATATCGGTTGGACTGCAGAGCGCTCTCTTTGTAAGTGCGGCCTTGTATGATTGGCAACTGGCTCGACTTCTTCTTCCCTTTCCCTCCTCATTTGTCCCCAAAGGAAGGTCAGCCAGGTGACATCTATCTATGTATAACACGGCTGACTGAACCTACACAGACCATGTGGGGATTCGTGCTCCCTTACCTCTTCAACCCGGACAAGGCCAACCTGGGCGCCAAGGTGACGTTCATCTTCGGCGCGCTGTCCGTGCTCTCCATCGTGTATCTGTGGCTGTGCCTGCCCGAGTCGGCGGGTTTGAGTTACGAGCGTCTGGACGAGTTGTTCATCGCACGGGTGAAGGCGAAAGGCTTCAAAGACCTAGGAGGTCATCGAGGGGAGGAGGAATCAACCATGCAGAGCGGCGAGGAGTGGAGGGATACAAAGCACGCCGCGGGCGTGGTTGGGGGAGTAGACGTGGGTATGGGACCTAGGAAGGTGAATGAGAAGGCTTACATGGCCGTCTAACAGCGATGATGGACAAGATACGCACTGTGCCAGTCAGTGAGTGCCAATGTCGATGTCGGCAGTGGTGCCTCTCTCACACCACGTATACCGAGTGTTCCCAGGACTAAAGGCAGCAAGCCCTTGTGAGAAATGATGAGCCCAGCCCCCACCCACACATACACACAATCTGCTCACTGCTCACCCCGAGAGTCCTGGGCTCAGCACGAGATCTCTTGGCTCATGGGCATATTCCGGGTGTACTTTATCAGTAGTCTGGGACATACAGCGAGAGTCACACAGAGAGGGAGAGTGAGGAGAGACACAAGATCCTAGCGATGATAATAGTACCGCCGACGATTCTGACTGTCAAAGTCCGTCTTACTTACTTGGCTACATACCTGCCTAGGCACCTGCCTCCCTATCTACCGTACGAGGTACTCGTATCAAGCAATGCGTTTAGCATCATCATCATCATCATCATAGTAAATCCGTTCGCCGTTCGCCGTTCCCCGTTCCTTGACCGAAACCATCGACCTCTGGATTTTCAGATCCCTCGGTCCCCCTTCCCCCGCGCACACGCACACATATACTCGGTACACACCGACCGATGACGGATGATAGAGGCAGGATCCAACAAAGTCCGTGCGGCACGGCAAGCGATTACCGTATGGGGAAGGAGGTGGATATTTTCGTTTCCGTGTTTGAGTCATGCCCACACGCACACATACACTCAGCCACAAGAGGGTACATACGAAATGAGGATCAACGTGAAGTATGCAGGAAATGGAGAGGGAAGGGATAGGGATAGGACATGGAGATGAAGGACAAGGTAGTTTAGTTCTTCGGATTGGAGGGAAAAAAAACCAACGGCAAGAAAAGCTTAGAGTTAACACATACACACACACACACACACATGCACACTGTGCGGTTCGTGTCTGTCTGTCTGTATACGTCAAAAAAAAAAAAAAAAAAAAAAAAAAAAAAAAACACATGGAAAATATCTTGCTTGGATACACCGAATTAAAAAATATATGAGCGAGCGAGTGCTGTTTCTCCCAAGTTTTCGTGACCGTGTCCTTCGTAGTCCTTCCTTCGTAGTCCTTCCTTCGTAGTCCTTCCTTCGTAATAAATCCCTCGTTAGACCAAACATACCTAGCGAGAGAGATGACTCGATCCCAGTTCACGTATGGCAAATACAAATGCAAAGACTCCGTCGACGCCGCCCGCCGCCACCCCTCATGCCTCGCGCAATGCCAATTTGCAGTCGTGAAATTAAAAAACAATCGGTGTTGAAAGGAACGTTCGTGCGTGTGTCGTTGTGTTTTATGGCACAAGACAAAGGCGTCTAGGACGACGGAAACACCTTCTTCAACAAACTCTCCTTCTTGCCGCCTTCCTTGCCCACGGCCTTTCGTGCCAGTTTGGTCCCCTTGGAGGATGCCAGTGTCCTCGTCGGCGGCGGCGCGAACTCGGTCTGCAGATTCAACGTCCCGCGTCCGCCGCCCGCGCCGCCGCGCAGCTTGGCCTGTCTCGCTTGAAACGTTGGATCTGCCTCGCCCCGACCCTGGCCCGTGCCAAAGGGATACGTCGAAGTCGGGTCCTCGAGGGAGGTGTTCGTGTGCGTCAACGTCAGCGGTGAAAAGGCCGTCGATGGGAATGATGAAGGTGGAGCGGTGGTCTCCGAGCGTCCATTCTGCTGCTGCTGCTGCTGCGAGTAGAGAAGGGGCACCCCTGTGGCGGGCGTGAGTGGCGAGTTGGAGTACGAGTCCTGGGTGAAGGTGCGGGCGTATTGGGTGACCGGCATTGAGCTGTGCAATAAGGGAGACACGGGATCGTGAGCAGCTGCAGTGCTCTGTGCATCGACATTCTCAGCCGGGTAATTCTGCTGTGGTGGGGATTGTGATTGCTGTCGACCCGGCTGTGTCGCGTTCTGCAGGAAGTTGTGGTATGCTTGGTGCTGCTGCGAGTTGAAGTCGAACGCAAACGTCGCCATTTCACTGCTGCCCTCTCTATGCGCTTCTTCGTCGTGACTGCTGAAGGACGACGGCGATCCTTTCCCTTTACCTGCCGTCACGGTGATCGTCGACGCGCTGTCGATTCCTTTCCCCTTCATGGCCTGTTTTGCCTGGTCCCGCCACCTCCGTCGCTGCATCCACTTCCTGAACAGCCAGAAGATGGCAAACGCGAGCCCGATGCCGCCGATGACGCCACCCAAAATGGCCCCTGTCAGACCAGACGCGGCGAAACCGGACACACTGGTCTGTTCAGCGGCGACTGGAAGCGTGTCCGGACACAGCGTGCGCGTGAATATGTACGGACCGTGTGGCCGCGCATTCGCGAGGTGGAACGTAGGCGGAGAGGAGTCGTAGTTGGCGATGAAATAGAGTTGCGAGAGGAAGGCGGTGCCGAAGAAGCTGAGGGTCGTGTTGGTCGTTTGATCCGACACTGTGCCCGTGGAGATTGGGGAGAGGTTGGACACGTTCTTGAGCCAGGCGGCGTCGTATTCGACGCTCAGTCCCGATTTCAGAGTGATGGTGATACTCGAATCGAAATCGTCTGGGAGACGGAAGACATCGAGGGCGTCGTCCGACGGCGTCGCCCCTGTTTCCTGGGAGAATTTCTGCGTCACGTCGCTGGGGAGGCTGATGTGGTATTGCGATGTGGTGAGATGGGCGTCGAAACTCTCGGTGAGGAGGTCGGTCTTGGTCCCGTCGGAAGAGGTCAATGTCATCTGCTCGACAGAAACCACAAAGGGACTGTGCTGTGCTTCTGGTCGAGCGGGACTTATGGTGAAATTGTGCACTTCGCCCTCGAAGCGACCCGAATCATACCCACCGAGGGTCAGAGAGCCGTTGATGGCGCCGTTGGCTTGTTCGTACGAAGTGCCCATGTACAGTGCAAAAGACCGTGAAGAGATGAGTTGGAGATCGTAGAGATGGTTCAGCAGCGTGCTGTTGGGTCCCAGGCCAAGCAGACCTGCGGGACCAAACCATGGAGACGTGCTCGCGGAATAATTCGACAAAATGGTGACGGGGAAATCTGGAATTCGAGTGACGTTTGGCGGAGAAGGGTCGTAGTAGTGTGTGAAGAGGTTGAATGTGTCGAATGCAGTTTGGAGGATACTAGCGGGGATCGAGCCGTAGCTATCGAGTGACTGGTATGACGAGGCAGAGGAGTAGCTGGAGGTCGTTGAGTTAGCATTTAGAACGATGCGGTCAAGAACTCTGGCACTGACTTCTGGGACAGGTCTGGTGAATAGAACCCGTGGGCGTGATTTAGACAGTCTCCGAAAGGACTGTTTGTACAGTAGTCAAGGCTGGCCACTGTTGTTTCGTTGTTTGCGAACGACGGCCAATGTGACATGTTCTGCGATACTGGGAAGCCAGCCCCCGTAAACAGCCCATATTGCTCGTTGACCCCACCATCGACTGCTCTGACGTGAAAGTCGACGTAGATGGGGACAATAGAACAGTTGTTTTGTGCGGCAACGACGGTCACGAAGAGAACTAGAGCTTGGATAACCCCAGCCATCATCTGAAACACTGACAGAAATGATACTAGACGACCAGGCAGTGTAGGTCCAACAGTCACTGACCACCAGCTCTGGCAAAGGCTAATGAGCAGCACAAGGGTAAATGCAAAAACAAAACAGAGAAAAGAAACAACAGCAAGAGATGACCCAGAACCACTTACGAACAGAAAGAAATGATAGAGATGAGATGCGGCGGTACAAGAGAAATATCCATGGCCATACAGTTTGCAGACACCTCAAGACTTGCCGTGGTCAGCCTGGCCGGCTTGAGCATTTGCAAGCAAAAACTGAAACGGACTGGGGGAGGACGGAGGGGTTACAATAGACGCCGCACTGGAGAACGCCGCCCGTTGATGCAAGGCGGCTGTCATTTTTGTCATTCCCTGCAGTAGACCGCGTCTTGGGGTAGCCTGGAGAGAATTCATGCGGTAGCTGTGGAAGAGATCGGGATCAGGGTCGACCGATGGTGAGGCCTGACGCCGAGAGGTCAAGATGAGGTTGCAAGAAATTTCCATTTTTAGGAGAAGCCAATCCAGCCTGGCGGCTGCCGAGACCCAATCGGAGCGCAGCTTGGCAGCTCACCGATCAAGGGCGAAATTTTAACCAATGGGGATAGAGGAATGGATGGGGCGGGTCTGGGCGCCCGACGCTGTATAGCCACAATTCTAGCCCGGCAAATGGCCACTCACAGATTCGAGACGGCTGCTTTCAAGGGTTAGCCATGTCCAAAAGTCGTACGCAAATTCCTGCTTGGTCCTAATATCCTAAACAGCTGTCCCAAAATGTCAAAACCTGGAAGACCCGGCACGAGGCATGCTCTCTGTCCAATCAAGATAACTGACCGGGATCACCTTTCCAGCAGGCACAAAATAGCTGTGCCAAGCAGGCGATCGACACATTGTGATCCATCCTTAAGGTTTTGGCTTTTTTGTTATCAAGTTGTTCGACAGAGTATTGGCGGTTGTTGAAGCCAACGCTTGCGTTATTCCAGGTGCGGAGGTGTTATTAGTGGTGGTGGTGGTGCCATTATCCATTGTGTCTGCCTTCCTTTTCTTGCGGACGCCAGTCAGCACGTTGACCTGAGCTGATGACACGATGCCCGGAGCTGTGGGCGGTGCCAAGACCGGCATAGCACGGCCACGTATTGGATGTCCGAATGAGGCCGCCCTTGATAGCTCCAGAGCTTTGTCTATCCAGCTTTTGGTGGCATGTGCAGCGGGGGCCTCATGAGCAAAGTCGGTCTGCAGAAGATGTTCCATTAATGCCTGATATTGGGTAGCGTCGATAAGAAGCTCGCCCCGCGTTCCCCCAGTCGTGGGCAACATTGACTCTTCCGCTACTTCAGGCACAGGAGCACTATGATCAGCATTTTTTCCATTCTCTATAGCTTTAGATTCAAAATCTGGATGAATAGGCGAAGAGGAAGGTGGCGAGTTTAGTTCTGCGTTCATTTTGAGGATGGAGGCAGTCGGCGATCCTATTCCCGTATTGCAAGTCTCGTGCTGCTGTTGGGAATTGGCAGGCGTAATCAGGCTCGGCTTCGTGCGTTGGCTGGCTAAATTCTCCGTCTGACTGGTCTTTTCAAGCTCGTTTAGTGTAGTATGTTCGGTCTGACCACGAGAGAAGACCAGCCACACGAAACCTACTACTCGTCCAGCAGAACATTCTTGTCTATACGACATCGTCTCCCAGAATTGATCAAGGGTTTTCACACCCCGCCATTCTCCTTTTTCATCAACAAACTCGTCGAGGTCCTCAAGAAACCGTGCTTTGGGATCGTCTGGAAGTCGGGGAACCACATGCCTCGGAGGGACCAGAGGGTCCGGCACTAAAAGGCTGACTGGATATGAATCAACCCATTTTGGATCTGAAGAGGAATCTGTCTGGCTTGATGGTGGGAAAAAGGTCTTAACTCCGCTCTTGTCGTATCCTGGGACCAACAGATGTGCAGTAGCCACTACATCCTCCCTGGGTTGGCGCATGACTATGTCGAGCACTCGACACCACCACTTTATGAGCCGGCGATCGTCGAGAATGTGTTTTCCGGCATTCTCAGAACTCCCAGGGAAAAGATATTGGTTTTGCGAGCGAGCAAAAAGTGACACGACCACTCTTGGACTGGTCAGACGAGGTTCAAGTAAGAACTGAATAAAGGTTGAAGTGACGGTGGAAATAGCAGATGGATAGTTCTTTGGTTGGTTGAGGCGGGAAGTGAAGCCTGAAGAGTCGGCTTTTGAGACAAATATTGTCACGAGCGACTGAGTCGTAAAGACCAAAACCTCGACCGCGTAAGCTAAAATCTCCTTGTCTTGGTTCTGAGACGAGACTGCAAGGAAGTGTGACTCGCAGAAAGTGGCGTCTTCATCATGGCCCTTCAAAGGCGCGAACAAGGCGGGCGCTCGTGTGGGCGGCGTTGACAAGTGATATACCCGAAGCTCCAGACCAACAGGAAGGGCGGCAGAAAGACGCGACGGGAGGGATGACTTTTCTGACATATCTGTTGTCTGTCTAGCTGCATTGGTACATGATGAGGCGCGAATCGAAGCTTTGAAAAATGAAAGAAGGAGCTGAAAATTTGTCAATCGAGGGACGAGGTCGGGTCATTGACTTGAAGCCGGTGAACGATTGAGGGAAAGGGGGAGACCGGGGGAAAAGGGAGGTTGACCGGAGTGGCCAGATTTTAGTCTAGATTGGGATTAGCTCCTTTTATCCACCAATGGGAACGCGATTGTCTCCAGTAGCTTGAAGCCTAAAGTGTCAGCCTCACTGGCCGCTCCAGCAGCTTCCCCTCGTCGCTACACCCCCCGGGCCCAGATTTTGCCTTCTCCGGTTTCGTCACACAACACCGTCCAGCCTGATATATAAAAGGTCAAAGTCGCCTCAAGCTCTCAAAATCTCTCTGTCCATCTTTGTAAGTCGCGACGTTGTTCCCCCAGCATTTCGTCAATCCCATCCTGGTTTCGCGCTGAGACTTGAACTATGGATCAAAATGCAATGCACTATAGCGACAACGATATCAATGTGGCTGCAAAATCTACCCTTCACATGACACTTTGTCTCAGGGGTGCGACCGGTCTTGTTCCACAAGGAGACATGTCGTCTGCGTCACCGAAACCACTACCCAGCAGAAAAGCCTCGCATGACAGGCGAATCGAGACCCCCCGCAATCCTCCGAGTCCTGGTCCTGTCCATGAGAGTGGTTGGGGGAGATTGACATTTGCGCCACCCAGTCTCTCATTTTCCTACTGGGCTTCCATGCTTAGTGAGGAGGAATTTCCTACCTTCCTGTTTGGCCGACCCTCTCAGGACCATATCAACTCAAAGATTCTGAATGTTGTGGCGAACAAAAGCCCGAGTCCTGAGCATTGGGCATGGGATGGGTCTGCCACAGGTCTATCTGAAGAGGAATCTGAACCAGAATATGATTCTGCAACGAAGATGGATTCCAACCAGCACATGAACTGCAGCACAGCCACCCAGATTCAGCACTCGAAACCGCGAGAGGCGAGCAATCCCGCTCATTTGGAAATCAAGAGGTTAAGTCGCTGTCTGGAGGAGAGTAGCAAATGAAATTTGATGGAGGCAAGAAACCTGGAACGCATAGACGCCAAACAAATGAGGTGAAATGCCTGTCTCGACTCTACCTCCACATCGACGGATGACAATGCATGTCAAGAAAGCGGAAGTCGGTGGAACAATTCTTCATTAGAGACACGCAGGGTGATTGACGTGGCATGTATCTCTCCTTGCATCGTACACGTTGTTGAGACTCCACGGAGGTTACTCTCTGGCTTTTTGTGGCTTTCTCTGCCGAATGGTTTGGGGTAGAAATGCCTTGGCCTGAAATTTGGTTCTGAAATTTGGATTTCCGGCAAACCTTCCCTACATATTGTTCACTAAAGTCCGAAGAGAGAACTTTCTCGCCCTTGCGATTGTCCTCGATCTGCCCATTTTTTGCGACTGCGTGAACACTTCTCCAAGCTGTCTTCACCCGATACCGGTGCATACCTGACAAAACTCGTCGCGTATCGTCGCCCATACTGTCATATCAACCCAGAGATCCTCATCCCGGTCCTCGGGCTGCTGTACCGTAGCCTCAGTCTTGATGCCCCGCGATACAAGAGTTACATGAGTATACCTGCGTTCTGCGGCCAAGTCGTGTAACAGACCAACATGCTGTAGCTGACCTCCAGGCCATTCGCGCTCTCCTACTTTCCTTGCTAATGTATGATGTCTGCCACCAGTCCCGAGAAAGAAGAAACGCGCAAGGAGGACAGCCCTCACAGTGACGAAGATGGGGAAGTGAACAGCCATGATTCATCGCCCGCAAAATCCTTAGATCAAGACCCAGAAGACCAACGTGTCACAGAGACACCTGAAGCCAACCCTCCTCTTCCTACCGAGGAAGATCCTCCTCCATTACCCGTCGAGGCACCCCCTACTCAACCTGTGGATGATGGCTGGGAACCGGTTTGGGATGACCACGCCCAGGCATTCTATTTCTTCAATCGATTTACAAAGGTAACCCAGTGGGAGAATCCACGAGTACCAGAGGCACCGAGTCAAGCCGGGCCACCAGGAGTTGGAAACCACGACAGAATAGGGGGAGTTCAAGGGCCTCCAGCAAATCGAGTCGGTGGATATGACCCTGCCATTCACGGTGATTATGACCCGAATGCCGATTACGCCAAAGCCTACGAAATCTCTCCGGTGGACATGGCGCCCGGCGCTGCTCCAGGCACGAATCCTGCCGACCCATACGCTGCCACGGGGACGTTTAATCGCTTCACAGGGAAATGGCAGCGAGCAGACCTCAACCCTGAAAAGTTCACCGATGAGCAAAAAAGTCGGCGGCAGATGAATGCCTTCTTCGATGTGGATGCTGCCGCCAATAGTCATGATGGCAGAAGCCTGAGAGCCGAGAGGGCAAATAAGAAATTGAGCAAGGCCGAGATAAAAGCGTTCAAGGAGAAGCGGAGGGAGAAGAAGGAGGAGAAACGGCGCGCATGGTTAAGAGATTGACGCACCCATCATGGCCGAAGAGCAGCAACACAGGCCATAGTTTTGTTATATTTCTACAGAGTAGATTATGTCTTTGATGATTTTGGTGGTGTTACAACATGGCGATGTCGCGGTTTTAGAAGCAGAAGCGGAAATTTCGGGACTCGAGACTACTTGGACGAAATCAACCCACTAAATCAATTTCTCGCTGTAGTGTATCGATCGTGCAGTTCACTAAACCACGCTCTCTTCTTCTCTCTCCATTCCGTCACTCGTTGCGTCCGACATGCTACACTCATGCTCAGAGATCATATCGCGGTGATTTGCATCGCGTGGTACATTTTCATAGCCTGCGTCTGTGCCATTGGCTACATTTGTCTGTGCGTCTTGCCCGCCCTCTTTTGTTCTCCAGGGCAAAAATGGCACCCCCGGCCCACCAAGCTCCCAAATTTGAGATTGATCGCTAATGTACTAGGTACGTAGATTTCTCTACTATCGCCAGACGCCTTCACAGGGCGCCGTCCTCGCAGACGAGTCGGCAAAGCACCATGTCCCCCATGTCACGGTGATTCGACCCTGCAAGGGCCTCGAACCCTACCTGTACGAATGTCTCGCGTCGACGTTCCGACAAGACTACCCCCGGGACAAGATAGCGGTGCACTTTTGTGTCTCGTCGCGAAATGACCCGGCGTACGGCATCATCGAGAGGGTTGTGGGCGACCACCCGGCGCACAATGCGCGCATCTTCATCGAGGAGGAAGACGACGGACTCGCCAACGGAGACGAAGAGGAGAGCTACTACCGCAGGTCTCTAGGGCCCAACCCGAAGATACGGAACATGAGCAAAGCATACCGCGATGCAGGCGAACGGGATCTCATATGGATCCTGGACTGTAATGTCTGGGTGGGCCGGGGTGTTTGTGCGCGCATGGTTGACAGGTTATGCGGTTTCACGACTGAAGGACACCCACCACCAACACCATACAAATTGGTTCATCATCTCCCCATATCAGTCGATGTGGATCTGCGCACCGACCAGGCTGATGGACGGGTGGCAGAGTCTGCGTTTCGGAGTGACAGTCCTTCCACATCACCCCAGCTCGCCAACACACTCACTACCGCTACTCTGTCGAAGCTAGATCAACTCAAGCGGAGTGCTGGCGGCCGTGTCGAAGAGCTCTTCCTCTCCTCCTCGCATGCAAAGATGTACGTTGCCATCAACACCGTGGCCGTGGCTCCTTGCATCCTGGGAAAATCTACCATGTTCCGACGAGTGCACTTGGACCACCTCACCGCCCAAAAAGCCCTCGAGGACGCCAGAAGCACGAGGATTAGCGGCGCGAAGGATCATCACGAAGAGAGCAGGGGCCCTCATCACACCCGGATCGGCATCGACTATTTCTCCCACAACATCTGCGAAGACCATCTCATCGGCGACCTGCTGTGGAAATCACCCGTGCCAGCGGTCCCTGACCTTCCGAAGAAGATGCGAAACCACGGGCTGGTATACGGCGACCTGGCGATCCAACCCATCAACTCCATGTCGCTACAATCTTACATATCCCGACGGGTCCGGTGGCTGAGGGTGAGGAAGTTCACGGTGCCTGTGGCAACGTTAGTTGAGCCTGGCACAGAGAGTTTTCTCTGTTCGCTGATGGGCGCCTGGGGCTTGACTACCTTTAGCGGGACAAAGAGCTGGGCTGGGGAGTCGTGGGGGCGGTTCTGGATGTGGTGGTGCGTAAGCATCCTCTGCTGGCTGGCGGTGGATTGGACCGTGTATTTGTTACTGCACTCAGGCCGAACCATTGAGACGTCTACGCCACAACCCTCATCGTCACTCTCACCCTCACCGAACTCCTCGAACACAAACTCCTCAGCCGCAACACTTGAAACTTCAGAAGACGGACGACTCGGACTCCCCGTGTTCGCCCGACCTCTTTCCGCCGCCGTGCGCTCACGGCGAAGCTTCTCGGCCTGGCTCCTCGCCTGGCTGGGGCGGGAGTCTCTCGCTTTCCCCATCTGGGCCTGGGCAATCTGGGGTGGCACGACCGTGACCTGGCGCGACCGGCGGTTCTGGGTCGGGTTCGATATGAGAGTGCACGAGATTCGCGATGCGAAGAGAGGGAGCAGCAGTGGCAAGGATAAGCACCGGGACGCCAGTCTAATGGGGAAGAGTAATGGACACATGACGAGGATAAACGAGAACGTGAATGGGAATGGGAATGCCAGGGCGACGAATGTCAACGGGACTTTGAGGGAACGCAGAGACCCAAACCGGATAGTGACGGAGCAATTACAAAAATGAGTCAATGAGTCAATGCTGCCCACGATGTCCAGAACATTGTGGACATGGTACGAGGTCGACGATGAGGTATATAGAAGGGCTAGATGACACAATAACTGTGGAAATGAACATCGCAGACCTGAAGACAGAAACCGCATCTCATACTATGCTTCGGAGCCGTCACACCCACGCTACAACTAGGATGCTACA